TTAAACTATTAGCAATATTGATATTAAATACATACTAAAATAATGAGTATCGGTCGGGCTCTAAACATATCCAACACTCAACACAGGTGCTCTGAATCAACACCAATCAGCTAATAGTTAATAAACAGTAAACAAGAAAACAGGATTGACCTACAATTTGCATGACGCACCAAAAAGACTGTTGATTTGTAGAAAAATCACTAATGCCATAGCAATGCTTACTGTGCCTCTATCTAGAATAAGCAGCTGGAGCTCGGAGACAAGATGGACTTGGCGTCCTACTTGCTTAAGCCCATCCAGAGGATGAGTAAATATGCACTGTTGCTCAAAGACCTGATCAAAGAGTGCAGTCAATCCCAGGAGCAGGAACTGAGTGACCTCCGCACTGCAGAGGAGATGGTCAAGTTTCAGCTTCGCCATGGCAACGACTTGCTGGCTATGGATGCTATACGGGGCTGTGATGTAAGTAGTATTGCATGAGCACATGATGTTGCTGCTATAGTGAATATTTTCATGTCAGCATACATCAGTGCCAAATACTATTTAACATTACTTAAAGACAATCTGGCAAGACAGAGGTCATTAACACTATTTTTGAATACGAGGTCATCTTGTTATGTGTTCAGCAGAGTGAGGTCAGAATCCCTCCAGGAATTGTATTGTTCTCTCTGACGCATGTGAACGGTCGTGCTTCCTCTCCAGGTGAACCTAAAAGAGCAGGGTCAACTGCGCTGCCAGGATGAGTTCATAGTCTGGTGTGGACGGAGGAAATACCTCCGCCACGTCTTCTTGTTTGAAGACCTTATCCTCTTCAGCAAGACCAAAAAGATCGAAGGAGGATACGACATTTACATCTATAAACAATCCTTCAAAGTAAGAATTTATTGTTTGAGGAGGTTTTTTGTCAGTTTCTGCTATACACTGCTTGTATAATGTCAGTAAATGTAATATTTTTTTTTTCCAATTATTTTCTATTTAGACCGCAGAGATAGGTATGACTGAAAATGTTGGCGACAGCGGCCTGCGTTTTGAGATTTGGTTTCGTCGGAGAAAGTCACAGGATACCTTCATACTCCAAGCCAGCTCCGCAGAGGTCAAGGCTGTCTGGACAGCTATCATAGGGAAGATTCTGTGGAGGCAGGCGCTCAGAAACAGAGGTGATTTCAATTGTTGTTCTGATTATTAATTCATCAACATTCAGAGGAGGTTATGTCATTAAAGATTTACATGTCTGGATTCTAGCTTTGCGCATGCAGGAGATGGTGTCCATGGGGATTGGAAGCAAGCCTTTCATGGATATCAAGCCAAGTGATGCTGCTATCAGTGACAGAGCCATTGACTATATCATGAAGGGGTCAGGTGAGCTTGTCTCATACACATTATGTATGTGTTTGTTATTTCTCTCCCTTTTTCTCTGACTCCCCCCCTCTCTCCAGTCTGTTGCATCTTCACTCACCTTGTAATTATGCAGACAGAAAACATTTTTCTCTTTGCTGAAACCACAAAAACTTGGCTGTTTTGAATGTAAACAGGTGTTTGAATGTAAGCCGTATTTGAAGTGTTATCCAAGCTGCACTCATATGCAGTCATTACAACCGCAGTAAACTATTTTACATGACTCCTCTTTTCATGGAGATGCTGTAAAAAAAAGATTCATGCCCTAATTATGATCATTAACAACCACAGGAATTTGCATATATTCTTGTCACTTTTCATCCCTCTTGTGATCTCACAGCTCACTGTGTTTGTCTCTACCCACAGAGTCTAGGACCAGGGCGTCTATCGCGGTGCCTTCGTTTGAACACGCCACTTCGTTCAAGAGACCTCACTCCACTATCTCCAACAGCAGCACTTCATCCTCCAGCAGCCAGTCATCCTCCTCCCTGCTGGGCTCGCTCAATCTTCATCTTTACTCCTCACCCTCTCACCCACACACACATCCATACCCAATGACCAGTGTTCCCTCCTTTGCCCAGTGGCCCTACGACTGCATAGAGGAGGATGAGCTGGAGCAGGACACCGGTAGCCAGCCCTCCATGAGTGAGTGGAAATTTTCCTGCTGTAGAAACCATAAGGCCCATAAGTTAAAGAATGTCAGCGAATGTAGGCAGCTGTGATTATTTTGATTATTAAAAAGTTACAGATACAGAACAATTCTGGGTAAATGTAAGCACAACCACTATAGTTACTATTGGTTGTCTTTTAACTTTCTGGGGGGAACTTTGGTACATTACCAGCAGCTCATTTGTGCTTTATCCCAAGTATTTTCTGAGCAAGAAAATAAATGAAGCAAAGATAAACACTATTAAAATTGAGAAGTGCTTCAAGGTAAAACAACGAGCTATAGTGATAAAATGATACAACAGCAATGATTAAACAGGGAAAAAATATATACAGTGTCTTCTTTGCTGCTACCACTAGGAGTTGCCAAAGTCTGAACATTTCATATGCCACTTAAAGGAGTTTTAAGAATACACAAAGTCCTTGACACATTAGGTAACATGGACCTATCTTCCTGGAAACATTGCCTCAATAGGAAATTTAAGTTCTGTGTGCATCCAGTGTGACAGTATTAATGTCTTTTTCTCTCTGTGTTGTGTGATAGTCACTGAGAGCTCAGAGACATCCTCCCAGTGTACCTCCAGAGACAGTGTAACAGGGCTGAGTACTCTCACTATACCAGGGCACCCCAGCATCATGATGGACTCATACAACAACAATGAGCCCCCCTCCTTCCTGTGCTCCTCCACACCTCCCTCCTCCATAGTGTCTCCTTCAATATTCCAGAAAGAGGAAGACCTCCAACCCCAGGACACCAATTTCATCACAGCAGTGAGTGTTTGATTATCTTCCTTATTATCTTCTTATATATGCTTCTTTTTAGAACTGCTAAAATCATCATGTTTCATGAGAGTGTATTATGAGATTAATTGTAGCTGTGGTGGTACTATTTATATTTCTTTATATCTCTATATATTTATATGTCTCTCTGAAGTCCCACATGAAGTACTTTCTTTTTTGTACCCTACTCATATCTTTTGTTGTTTTTCTGGATCCATTATTGTATGCATAATGGGGCCATATGTATGCATATATTGCACATAACGTTTTTGGTGTCAAGGACCCCCAAATTGATACATATCTGGCCACAGACACATATTTGATCAGATATTGTCCCCTGGTTAGATCCCTGTCTGATAATATTTAGTTATTCCATAACTGTCTATACTGTAGATTGTCAGATTAACAGTGAAGAGTTAAACTTATGAACACTCATACTTTCTGTCATTGGACTTTTAGTCAATAAAATAACAGTGAAATCAAAATATTCCCATCTTTTCTGGGACCATTTCTGGGATTCTAAAGCCTGATTATAACCCCAATTTGGCAGTGATTATAGATTTTTAAAATCATTTCAAGTTTGCACTGATATCTGGTCATATGAAGAAGTTTAGGATTTATATCTCTTACCCACTGAGTAAACGTTAGACCTGTAAAAGCTATTGCAATTATATTTAACATGTTTGACTTTTATACATTAAAAATGTCTAGGTCTTAACATGAATCTGTAATTCATGTAGAGAAAACTGTCATCTGCAAAAGTCTTTATAAGACAATATTTTCTTCTCTTCTTTCACACATTGATCTGAATGTGGAACTTTCATTGTCAAGTGTATACTGTGTTCTTATTAACAGCTATATTGAAATACAACAAACTACACAAGCCGATTTGACTGAGGCTAACTGTAACCAGTGTGGGACAACTATTTTTTTTAAATGAGCTGGTATATTTTAAGTTGGATTTCAGACTCCAGTGTTTAAAGGAAACCACCTCACCACCTTTTTGCTGTTTTGTTTTTACCAGAGCAAGACCACTCACATAGCACTAGGCCTCTCTACTGTGGTCTGATTCAGAGCTGAGGGGTTTTAGCTCAGTAAGTAACTGGTGTCACCAGAGTGGACATCTGTGTTGTCCCCTTCACAGCCTCATTAACAACTGTGAGGAGCCTGTGGCCTGACTACTAATCTGTGTGCTTTTGGTGTGTTTTGTGCTGCATGGCAGTGTGTCCTGATGGGTTACGGGGGCTCTCACCCCGATGGGTGGTTTGCTTTGTAAACTTTTGGCTCTTTTTCCTTTTTTCCTTTGGTTTCTTTGTGCCTTTCCTCATTTTCCTCTGTGCATCCGTTTAACATGAGAGTGAAATTTGTGTCATGAAATATATGTTTTCAAGAGTTTTATGTATGTTTGAACACATGCATGCTCTGTTACAACCTTTGTTTTGGGGCTTTGGAATGCATTTATGGTTAAAAGAGTTTTTCATTAATTCCTGAGTTTTGTGTTTTTTAACAAACTGTTGTACTTGTTAATGTTATTAGTTTCTAATGTTCAAATCAGTTCAATGTTCAGCACTTATTGTACCTAAATGTATTAAAATAGTAAATGCATAAAATATAACATTGCATTTAACAGCATTAAATTATATTAACTGGAAATTGTAGAAAATTTACTGAACAGAATTCAGCCTCATCTATAGTTACATTTAAGCAAATTGAAGACGTGAAATAAGTAAGAACTTCAGTGTTGCTGTTTGTTGTAGGACCTAGATTAATTAAAGACTTAAAATCCTTACATTTTTATTATCCCCCGTGTGTAGATGTTGCTTCAAATGTATGGTCAACTTTTAACCAGTAGGACCCCAAAGTAGTCATAAATACTAAAATATGTGGCTTTTAAAGATGTAATCAGAGAATAAAGAATCAAAAAGCACATTTGCTCTTTTAGATGTTTTGATAAAAGCCTATTAGTTGACTGACATTAATACTGCATGCTGACTCAAGTAAAGTAATACGAGTGCATAATGTGTAGAAAAGATGTTTTTCTAAATCATGTTTTTTTCCCCTTGTTTCTTCATAGCTGTGAAATCCTCAAGCTGAATGCTACTTGATGCCACAGCAGTTTGAATATCAGGACAAGGAAATGGAAATGAGAGGAGTCCAGCTGCAGAGCACTAAGACTTTAATCAAGGAAGCGCAACTATTATATGACATTTCATTCTGATACTGTAAATTGGAAATTGACACATAATATACACTGCCATAATGGTACGTCAGTGTTCTGTACATTTGTTTTACTTAACTAGGTATGAATTAATGTTTATATTGTAGATGAGTTTTTTTATTATGTATTTTACAAAACAAAAAAATAGCAGGCAGATCAATCCAGACAATGTTATGACAAGTTTGTACAGATTATTAAAATGTTTAAAACATTTTGTTGTATTGATTTCTTTGGCACAGTTAAGATTGACTTTAAGTCAACTAAGTGGCTACTGATTGCAACGGCTGGAAACAAAAACCAAGCCAACAATAAACAAATCCTTCATAGTTCAGTAAAGCTTTCTAAATGTGAAACCAGCTGAAAGTGTGAATGCAGCTGAAAACAAGTTGCAGATATTTCCACTGATAACCAAGCACGAGTGTAAAACCACACATAAGACCCTTGCGGACTGACGGATAGAACAGCCCTATGAGACCCACTGCTACCGTTACACAGAGACTGAGGAGGATAAAGAAGCGGGTTTTTTTTCGCATGAGAGAAGCTGACATTTTGTTTACCACAAGTCTTGTATTCTCAGCCCAAGTCAAACATCAGATCAGACCACAGCCTAGGCTGTTGCAGAGTTTTTCAACTCTAATATAGGTAATTGAAACACTACAGAAAGCCACACAATGTACAAAAAACATAAAACATATGCTAATACAGACACTTCCTTTCAGCACTAACATGCAGCTCCATGGTACCGAAACAGTTAATTTAAAGTATTAAATTCTCAGATTTCCTCTCAAATTGTTAAAACAACTTGATCATGGTGATTTGGCACGTTTCTCTTTGAAGAACCAGAAGCAGAGGGTTGCAGAGAGAAGAACCTCAAGCACCAACACAAAAAGCACAAGCAGCTCCATCTGTCAAAACAAAGAGATGATCAAGTATTCATTAGTTTTAAATTAGTAAATACATGTCGATATCTATTGCTAAATATGAGGTGTTTCATTTTGTCTTACCTTCATATGCTGATCATTTTCTGGATTCCAGTAAGACAGGTCAACACTTATCAGACAGCATGCAATTACTGCCATGATAATAGAGCCACAGTTGACCATGATGGACACCTGGAACATAAGCCATACATTAATCTTCACTTTATTTACCAATTTGAATCAGCTAATAATCTCCTTCACTGACTGTAATGTGTTGTTTGTTGGTCTTGTATTGAGTTGTACTTACAGGTAGTAATCTTGGACATTTGAACAACAGGTTGGAAACAATTCCAGCAATGATGAACTGCAGAGGAGAAGAATGGAGCTTAGAGAGCTGTTTGACTTTATAAGTATTAAAGACAGGTGGTAACATCTAGTTTAACTCTTTCTTGAACACTTGTATCTGCTTTACTTAATGTATGCTTTTTATCATCAAATACAAGCAATTTGAGACTATAAGTATGGTGACCAGGTGGAACTGCACCGCATTTGTATCCCATGTCCCACGTCCCACATATTGAGATTAGGTCCCACATTTTTATTGGCTCTAGTTTTCAAAAGTCAAATCTGCAGGACATAAGCTTTTCTAAGACTGTGCAGGGAAGGCTGTCATCACTGGGCTATATCCGACGCCAGTGGCGTGCACAAGGGGGGCCAAAACGGTGCTAAAGTGCCCTCAAGGGAGCCAAAACGCGTGCTAAACTGCCCTCAAGTGTCCTCTAGGGAACCGATACGCGTGCTAAAGTGTCCTATTGGGAGGCAAAATACACTAAATTATCCTCTTGGGTGGAAAAACACTCAACTGCCCTCTTCTAAGTTCTATTATTAGGTAGAGATGCCTATTGCATGTTTAAGGAGGAGCTACCTCGCTACGTCTTGTGGGAATAGCTTTTCAAAGCTAGCCAGTAAAGTTAAAAGTTGGGTTAGCATTGCATATCAGGGTTTCCGCCAGGTTTAAGTTGACTCCCTGCCGGGCTAAGCATCTGGGATAATTTTTAAAAATGCTCTCTTGAAAATGCCTCTTAAACTTCAGCTTGCAAGTTAAGGACAGAAAGTCTAAAGCTAATGCTAGCAGCTAGTTGAGAGGGAAAGAGACCAGTGGGATGATCAGCTAAGTAGAACAGAGCTGGGTGAGCATTATAAACTGTGAATGTGGCTTTAGTGTATATTAGGATACACTTTGCAATAAAAATAGATAATGCAGTCATCTATGCAAAGCAGATTTCTGGAATTTTGTGAAGGCTAGATACATTTAGGCTAGCTAATTTTAGAGACATGAGTGAGCCGCAGTTTATTTCACGGAGCAGTAAATGTGTCTCACACCTTTTCAACAGCTATGACTTAAGCTTTGATATTGTTTTATTTTAGTTCAATTTCTTTTGTTGCTGTTGAAAACACAGCATTCAGGAATGCACATTGTCTGATTCTCTATGACACATCTTGCGATGACTTTTATGTTGGACCCTTTGTTGATCTATATTGAGCCAGAACTATATCTCACAGAACCAGTTTGGATTATCTGATGCTAATATGGTGTTAAAATGCACTAGAATACAGGAAATAGCATCTACTTAATTGAAAATGTTCTGGGGGAAGACCCCCAGACCCCCTAGGGATTTGTGTCCTTCATACATCCATGTCTCAGTGTGTACTTCACAGTCCAACGTTGAAATCCACACAGTTCTTGTGGATGCTGATCCTAACAGCAAACTAAACTGAGTAGTCTGTCTAGTTAGTCTGTTTTAAGGCTATATAATGTGCCATTTGTATAACATATAAAACGTGTCTAAAGTGCCCTCTACAGTGGTGAGGATGCGCTTTATGTGCCCTTTTTTTTCTTTCCGCCCCTGCCCATCAAAAAGTCTGTGCACGCCACTGTCTGACGCCAATCAAACTGTGCACACATGGGTACAAGTGCAGGTCAACCTGTCACCTATCAGGGTAAAAAAATACATGGGACCACAAGGTCACAATCTATTGCAGATTTGAGGTGAAATATACCACACACAAAAAATAAATGCATTTATAGCAAAGACCGGCAACACACTTACAGCCAGGGGGAGCCGGTGGAAGGTCACTATGGCAGACTATCACATAGGACAAGTGTAACTAGTGCATTTACTTAACTTGCGAGTTGGAAAAGTTGCATTCAAAACATGTTAAAGCTAACCTGCCTCAATTTAGATCGCCTCTCAGAATGGGTAACGTGTCTCACAATGTCCTAAACAAACATACTCTTTGTCCCACATTTGGTTTGTTGGGAACTGGTCAGGATATACTTACAAGTGCTCCAGTCAGGAGGGAAACTCTGAACAGAGTGAAAAAGGACTCTCCCATGTTCTGTGTTACAGCAAAAACAAGTCCCACTCCAACACTGAGGAGTCCGCTCACCATCTGCAGAGACTGACAGTGGAACATAGATTCTGTTCAGATTTACTCTAAACATTAAGCTACATTTTTAGATTTATTTATAATCTCATTGCCACAAGGATAAACAGCAAGGTGCATGTGCTAGAGTGTACTGATGCAAGCAATGATACAGAGGCTACTATGAGTAAGACGTAGATACAGTATTTAAGACCTCAGTAAGCATAATGGTAATAATATCTTCTTAAGTTCTTTCATTGTTGATTTTCATGCATGAATTCATGACAACATATGTGTCCTGTTACCAAATGAACACACTAACACAAAATGAATAACAGTATACATGAAATATCAGTACTATGTAGATAAAATATGTATTTTCATCTAAATCATAATAACAGATAAACACTGTCTAAATGAACAAATAACACACCATGATGTGACCTTTAAGAATACTGTGCACATATTCTCACTAAAGACAGGATTATATGAAACTTCTTCACACTGACTAGTTGAATACCACAAAACCACCTAACCAAGCATTTCCTGTTGCTGCTGCCCAAATCTGCACAACCAGTACAAATGGACATCCCTCTTTACTGCACCTCTTATCTGTTTGTGATATCTTGCATTGGACATTAGATTACACAGTGGATTTAAGTCGCTTCAAGAGAAGAAAAATATTATCACTGACAGTAGGTCATATATAGATACCACACATACGTCTTTGTAATACAAAGAATTAATGTATGAGAAAAAAATCTATTACCATCTTAGTTCCTTTTTCCATGACTGTACACAATATTGTTGCAACATACAAGCTGTGAAACAGTACACTTAACACTCATACACACTAAACAAAAGGCTTCTACTGTAAAGAACTGGTACAATCATATGAATTAGTGAGGCTAATAATGTTCAGTACTTGTTTGGATTAAACACTTTTTCAGACAGCAGTTTGTAGTGTTATGTTTTAATTGCATTGTTTTGAGAACATTCATGCAGACTGACAGTAGCTCAGGTAGACCATGATGTCTAATAATTGCAGGGCTGGTAGGGTTTGATCCTTGGCTCCTTCTAATGGCACACTGAAGTGTCCTTAAGCAAGACACTAAGCCCTCTACTGCTCCTGATGAGCAAATCAGCAACGTGCGTGTTGGTGTGAGAGAATATGAGGTCCTTTGAAGTCCTTTGCATTGTTCTTTGTTTTTTAAAGACTAGTATTCTTTGGATACAATAATTTGCAATGCATCTTTCTAGTTTACAAGCAGTTTTTTTCACTCTTACCCCCAACACAGCAGGTTGTTTCTGCAGCAGGTTATGCAGCGGCCCTTCTTTTTCTGGTACGAACTCTGAAGCTTGGTATTGCTGTATTCTCGGCGGCTCTCTCCAGCCGGCTCTATGTGGGTCCTCATTATCTCCATGGATGTCCATGTCGACATCGGCACAAGCCATGGTGGTTCTCTGACCTGGTGGGATCCCAGTTTGATTTGAGTTTTTCTCATGGTGTTTAATAATAAAATAGTTTTAAAAATCATGTGTTCTTTAATTTGTTCTTTCAATTCTTCATCCTTTAGTCTTAATATCGGACAAACACTACTGTAGCCTTAAAATGTACAGTGACCAGACACTATGAGGTAACAGTTTAATTTTTGAAGCTGCTGTTGTGGATTTACAAAAAACAGAAAGAGACAATAACAGTAAATTAAATAACAGCATTTGTCCAGTGCAAGATCAGAATTTCAGCATCTAGAATTAATTATCACTGGCTTTTCAATATACAATTTATAATAATAAATATGCAGATAAGGATTTGTATAAACCAGTTTAGTCTTTGTCAAACAAAATAGCAGGAATTTCACATAAAAATGTATTACACATTTATTTTGTTGTTATGGCTGAACTTTTTTTTGACAACATCAAATAAGTTTTTAACCTTTTAACAACAGAGGAACATAAAAATTGACAAGTTACATTATAAAATATCAAGAGCAGCACCCAAAAGTGTCATTCGATCTCGTAGCATGATGTTTTTTGCTTTTGATTGCATTTAACATGCACAAAAAACATCCGAGCCACTGGATACATACACATACATAAGCAGACTTCGAGATGATTGCAAATTCATTCATATTCTCCATTGCAAATGTGTACAATAAAGTGCAATTCAATAAAGATCTTAGATTAGGATTCTTACCACGTTTGGCTTGAGCAGTATCTATTTCACACTCTGTATCTGTCTCAAACAAGTGTCTCACTCTTCAGGCATCATTTTCACTTCCCTGCAAATACTATGAAAGATGAGGTCACCACACGCTTTAACTTCCTTACTCTGCCTGTGGTCTCTACAGTGTTATCATGCCCATTGCCATTACTTTTATGTTGTTACAGTATTTATTATTCAAAAAAGACACTTTTTAAAAAAATTTATGAACACAAATAAGCTGAAGTATTAAGTATTAACAGTTTTAGATTTTCGCCAAATTCAAAATTCTGCATGCAAGCACTTTGTGGGTTTGTGTGTGAGAGAGAGAGAGAGAGAGAGAGAGCGCGAAAGAGAGAGGGAGTAAGACAGACAAACAGACAAAGACAATAGGTGCGCCATTTCATTTCCTTGTCAAACTCATTTGACAAAGCAGCGTATTTCAAGTCTGAATCAAAATACGAGAAGAAGAAAAGGTATTTACCCAAAACCTTGATGATAGATCACCACAGTAAACTGCTTTAACATTCTTTACATTTATTTTGTTTACAGGAGAATGAAGAAGACCTTCATATGTGATGAATCAATGATCATCACCATTCCCATTGGGAGTCTAAATGGTGCTCGAGAGGCTCAACTGATGCCGGAGAAATTTCAGTGTGTGTACAAAGATTCCTACAAGATCTTTGCTATTAATGGAAAACCTAAACCTCTTGGAGTAAGTTGGTAGAGTCATGACCATGATCTTGTCTTTTTCACTTCAATTCACACACAGAAAATGCAGCATTGTAACATAATTGTAATTTCTCTCTTTTTTTACTAGGCAGCCCAAGCCATTGCTGGCGTGTTCATTGTCATTCTGGGGCTGATTTTTACTCCACAGACAAACAGACACATATATGACAGCGACCAGATCATCGTGAGGATCTACAGCCTACCCAGTGTTTTGGTAAATAGAATTCCAAAACTAAAATATTATCCCATAAGTTACCATTTTAGATGATTCTGTGAAAAATCTAAATAATTAAGGAAAATACATACATATTAAATAGATTGACAGGGAACAATCTAGATCTATAGTATGCATCTTTTCTTGCACTTCCTTCTGCTGTAACATTCTGTATTGTATTTCTATCTATAATCATTTATCAATATGTTTTATCAATGTCTTAGTTTGTGGTCTCTGGTATGCTGTCCTATGCTTCTGGACAATCTGCAAACATGCATGTGGTAAGATAAAAAAAATATCTTTTAAAGATTTTTGCTAAAAAGTGGCTAAAAAAGTGAAAATGATTCTTTGTAATGGTGAAAATTTCACATCACAGGACAAAAAATATAAAATTCTTAAACTGCAATAGATTAAATAACTATTTCAAAATAATTGATGGTGATTTCCTGTGTTTGTTTTTTTTAGGATGTTGGGTTTCTGATTTTTTTGTACAAACTAAATTCTTTGCTCTTTTTAACCCATTTAAAGTTAACATCTTAATTAATGTCAGCAGTCGAAGTCTATGAGAAATTAAAAGGACTTTTTATTATGTTTTACATCCAGTAAGCCTTTTGTTTTTATGTAGTTTTTCTTTGAAAACACCAATAAATGAATGACTGTAGCCAAGCAACATATTTTAAGGTTATTGTCTGATAGATGATGAAGCAGAGGTGTGTTTAGGAAAATTCTAATTTTGTACGTATAAACAAATAAATAAACGACAAATGTGCAATATATTTAAGTATAATAATGCTATACACTGTATAGATATGAGGAAGTACGGAAGCATCACAGTTATTATGAACATAGTATATATTTATAAATATACTACATTCAGTCCATGACAAATAATTATATCTGATTATTTAAAAAAGGGAAATCATTACAAGTTGTGTCCTCCTGATTTATATGTTTAATATAATTCAATTCCAATGATTTTCTTTTGGCACCTAAAGATTTTCAGTAACAGCTGCATTATTACTGCTCTTTTTACCTTCCAGACAAAGCTGTCATTCTCTCTGAACATTGTCAGCTTCTTCTGGTCAATTGCGGCAGTTTGTATCTGTGCAATCAATTTTTCTTTTTCCTGGTACCAAGAAAAGGTAAAGGAAAACAGCATTTCTCCTTCATTGAGTAACCTCTCTGAAATACAAAACAAACGTGTATTCACTTTCAACTTCAACTGTTTTTATAGATCCATCAAGGAATCAGTGGACTGATTTTGACTCTGCTGGTTGTTGAAAACTTGTTTGCCCTATTCTTGATCTACTGGTTGAGTAAAGCTGTGTGCAGAAACCATTTCAACACATTGGTATGCCATTTCTTTAAACACACAGCAACCACAGATAGTGTAAAAATTTAAGATTATTTGTTACTAACAGTTGTAAATCTTTTCTCTGCAGCCCATCATACTGCTGAAACAGGGAGACTGAGTTTAAATGCTTGATGGAGCTCAACAAACCAACAACCAACCAGCTATTTACACGGTTCCTTATTGTATCAAAGGTGCATGATAGCCTATCAATGTCATATACCTTTCTATATACAAAGAATGTGACATTAACTATTCATGTAAATGTGCCACTTCTTGGATACTGATTAACTATTAGTTTTATTTGTATACATCTACCTGTGCATTGCATCGTTTAATCATTTTATGACTGTATAGGCCATCAATCAAAAAGTAGTAGCATGTCAGCAACGTTATCGTGTGCGGCCTGTAGAAGTTTACACACTCCAAAATAACCTTTAATTTCTAAGTCCTGGAGAACGTTGTATTGTCTTAACTCTGGGACCTTTAGATCATATTTTAAAGCTTGTATATAACTTTTGTGACACATCATTCAAACAGTCAAAGGTTATTAAAGATCGTCATAGGGAAATATGATGCAGGTTTGTGCTTCTTGACTATTGCGCTGCATTTTTAATACTGTATCCCACAGTTAAGTATTTCATTCACTTTACATTGATTATTGAGAACCAACGGTCAGTCAAAGTTCTTATCCTGGTTAAAGCTTAAAGGTGAACTTTTTGCTTTTGTGGCTCACAGGCTTTGAAACAGATGACAGATTTTTTCAAATCAGTCTGAGAGCTGTATAGTCCTAAAACTTAATGTCATTACTTTTTATCATTAATTCTCCATAAGGCATTTTGCTTTGTTATACTTAGCCTACGTGTGGATTTTGTTTCACTGATTGTTACTAACTGTATTGACTGTTTAAGGCAAATAAAGGTTATTATTATTTAGTTTTTTTGTCTACGGGGTCTTCTTGTGGAGCGACAACACATTCCTCTACTATGAACAATAACAGATAACAACTTAAATTAATTAACTGGTTTTAAGCTCAGCAACATATTAGTAAATCTCCATGTATGCATGTAAGTAATATATACACTCTATACATAATGTAATAATACATTTTGTTGTGATACATTTTCACTCATCAAGTGGAAGAAATATATGAGCATATAACAATATACTTCACTTTTTACATTGTATGTTACCACATACATTGTTGTGATGTAAACCTAAAACTGTTAGGTAATTTCATAAACCCAAACTTGTTCTGTACTTTTTGTGTTGCAACCCCATTGCTCATATTGTTTGTTTGTATCATTGCCCGCATGGCTACAGTAGGCAACTTCTTCTTCTTTTTTTACCCATATGCTCAATTTACTCAAAGTGATTATGTGTAAAATAACTTTTCAAATGTCTCCTAACCCACCAGTAATAATAAGAAAAACAAACAAACTTTTATTTATTTTTTTTACTGGTGCACATCATGGGGGGAAGGTTTCTTGCAGTTCTTAATGAATACTGAGAGGGACCCCTGCTGGGTAGATGAGGATGTTTTTGGTTTCAGTGACTTGTGAAGCCATGAGCGACCACATGGGAGAGGTAAACACACACCAAATGAAGTCAAGTTAATTCATTTATCAGCGAATGATGTATTCTAGTAAACACTTTTCATTTCACATTCAAATAAGTGCTGTTGTTGTACTGTGTTCAAATTCCCCCAGAACCTGTCGGATTGCAGTTTTAGTTTTTTAAATGTTAATACAGGAAACCACATCTCCAATCGGTCCAACTCCATCGAGGGGGTCAATGTGGAGGTGGTCAGGACATATAAATATCTGGGGCTGCAGCTGGATGATAAGCTGGATTGGACAGCAAATATGGACACTCTTCACAGGAAAGGGAAGCCATCTGTACTTCCTGAGAAGGCTGGGGTCCTTCAACATCTGCAAAAAACTGCTTCAGATGTTTTACCAGTCTGTGGTGGCCAGCGTCCCCTTTTATGCTGTGGTTTGCTGGGGAGGAAGCAGCAAGAAGAGAGATGCCGGTTGACTGGACAGACTGGTGAGGAGAGCTGGCTCAGTGGTGGGCACAGAGCTGCACTCTCTGGTGACAGTGGCAGAGAGAAGGACCCTGGACAAACTGCTGTCCACACTGGACAACGGCGACCACCCTCTGCACAACACCTTCACCAGGCAGAGGAGTGTGTTCAGTGGCCGACTGCTGTCCCAATCGAGCTCCACCAACAGACTCAAAAACTCTTTCGTGCCCATCGCCATCAGACTGTACAACAGCTCCTAGTCAAGGCAGGGAGGACAATAAATAATAGACAATGGACAATTTCTACATCATTTGCACTCCATTTTGCACTACATCTGCACTGCTTACTGTTTGCACTGTTTACTCTTTGCACTGTTTACTGTGGCTACTGTGTTAAGTTAACTTTAAATTTATTTTAGTTAACTTTAATTGTATTTTGTTAACTTTAATTTTATTTTTTTATTTTATTCTAATGTATGTTTAATGTATGTTTAATGTATGTCTTGTATGCTACTGGATGCTTGAATTTCCCTCAGGATAAATAAAGTATCTATCTATCTATCTATCTATCTATCTATCTATCTATCTATCTATCTATCTATCTATCTATCTATCTATCTATCTATCTATCTATCTATCTATCTATCTATCTATCTATCTATCTAGGAGATCACATTTTTAGTATAAGTTAATTGAATTTGTCATTGTTTCTTAGAAGTCATCCTCTGTTTAACTTGTCCTGCTTTAAAGTCCTTGCATTGGAGGTCACGCCACAAACAATCAGCACATGATGAACTCTTCTTCTTTGGGACACTCCCTACAAACATGCACACCAATCAAAATCAAAAGTGGACAATTTCTCTCCAGCAGTCTTCCCCTCTTTTAACCCCTCTGTTGCTCTGTTGGTTTGAGCCTTGGCTCCTTCTAATGGCATACTAAAGTGTCCTTGAGCAAGACACTAAGCCCTCAACTGCTCCTGATGAGCAAATCAGCAACGTGCGTGTTGGTGTGAGAGAATATGAGGTCCTATGAAGTCCTGTGCAATGTTCTTTGTTTTTTAAAGACTAGTATTCTTTGGATACAATAATTTGCAATGCATCTTTCAAGTTTACAAGCATTTTTTTTCACTCTTACCCCCAACACAGCAGGTTGTTTCTGCAGCAGGTTATGCAGCGGCCCTTCTTTTTCTGGTACGAACTCTGAAGCTTGGTATTGCTGTATTCTCAGCGGCTCTCTCCAGCCGGCTCTATGTGGGTCCTCATTATCTCCATGGATGTCCATGTCAACATTGCCACAGGCCATGGTGGTTCTCTGACCTGGTGGGATCCCAGTTTGATTTGAGTTTTTCTCATGGTGTTTACTAATAAAATGTTTTTAAAAATCTTTAATTTGTACTGTGAATTCTTTATCCTTTATTCTTAACATCGGACAAACACTACTGTAGCCTTAAAACATACAGAGTGACCACACACTGGTAGGTTGTATTGTTGTTGGATTGCATTGTATTGAAAGGTGTCATATTTTCCCCAGCCATTAATGTAAAAAAGATATTAGAGATATCTTTCATACATCACCAGCACAAAGTACAGCTTCCAAATGTCCTTGGAACAAAGTAAAGACCCAATTAAAGGAGTTTAAAGGAGTTGTGTAAATGAAATTTAAACATATTTAATACGGTAGTATCGATTACAGGGCCTACATTGTGCAGGTGTTTTTCGTTTTTCTGTAGTTGTTCCTGAACAGTTTGTTTTTGGATTTACAAAAGACTGAAAGAGACAATAACAGTAAATGAAATAACAGCATCTGTCCAGTGCAAGATCAGAATTTCAGCATATAGAATTAAATATCACTGGCTTTTCAATATATAGTTTGTATTAATACATTTATACAGATAAGGATTTGTATAAACCAGTTTAGTCTTTGTCAAACAAGATAGCTGGAACTATCAAGCAACATTATTATAAACACATAATAATGTATTACACATTTATTTTGTTGTCATGGCTGAACTTTTTTTTGACAACGTCAAATATGTTTTTAACCCTTTAACAACAGGGGAACATAGAAATTGACAAGTTATGTTATAAAATATCAACAGCAGCACCCAAAACTGTCATTTTCATATTCGTAGCAGAATGTTTTTTGCTTTTGATTGCATTTAACATGCACAAAAAACATCCGAGCCACTGGATACATACACATACATAAGCAGACTTTGAGATGATTGCAAATTCATTCATATTCTCCATTGCAAATGTGTACAATAAAGTGTTTTTTCAGTGCAATTCAATAAAGATCTAAGATTAGAATTCTTACCATGTTTGGCTTGAGCAGTATCTATTTCACACTCTGTATCTGTCTCAAACAAGTGTCTCACTCTTCAGGCATCATTTTCACTTCCCTGCAAATACTATGAAAGATGAGGTCACCACACGCTTTAACTTCCTTACTCTGCCTGTGGTCTCTACAGTGTTATCATGCCCATTGCCATTACTTTTATGTTATCGTACAGTATTCATGATTCAACAAAGACACTTTTCTTTAAATTTATGAACACAAATAAGCTGAAATATTAAGTCTTAACAGTTTTAGATTCAAAAAAATTCTGCATGCAAGCACTTTGTGGGTTTGTGTGTGTGTGTGTGAGAGAGAGAGTGATAGAGAGAGAGAGAGAAAGAGAGGGAGTAAGACAAAGACAATAGGTGTGCCCTTTCATTTCCTTGTCAAACTCATTTGACAAAGCAGCGTATTTCAAGTCTATATCAAAATACGAGAAGAAGAAAAGGTATTTACCCAAAACCTTGATGATAGATCACCACAGTAAACTGCTTTAACATTCTTTACATTTATTTTGTTTACAGGAGAATGAAGAAGACCTTCATATGTGATGAATCAATGATCATCACCATTCCCATTGGGAGTCTAAATGGTGCTCGAGAGGCTCAACTGATGCCGGAGAAATTTCAGTGTGTGTACAAAGATTCCTACAAGATCTTTGCTATTAATGGAAAACCTAAACCTCTTGGAGTAAGTTGGTAGAGTCATGACCATGATCTTGTCTTTTTCACTTCAATTCACACACAGAAAATGCAGCATTGTAACATAATTGTAATTTCTCTCTCTTTTTACTAGGCAGCCCAAGCCATTGCTGGCGTGTTCATTGTCATTCTGGGGCTGATTTTTACTCCACAGACAAACAGACACATATATGACAGCGACCAGATCATCGTGAGGATCTACAGCCTACCCAGTGTTTTGGTAAATGGAATTGCAAAACTAAAATATTTTTCATTTCTATAATTCTGTGAAAAATCTAAATAATTAAGGAAAATACATACATATTAAATAGATTGACAGGGAACAATCTAGATCTATAATACGCATCTTTTCTTGCACTTCCTTCTGCTGCAACATTCTGTATTGTATTTCTATCTATAATCATTTATCAATATGTTTTTATCAATGTCTTAGTTTGTGGTCTCTGGTATGCTGTCCTATGCTTCTGGACAATCTGCAAACATGCATGTGGTAAGATAAAAAAAAATTATTTTAAAGATTTTTGCTAAAAAGTGGCTAAAAAAGTGAAAATGATTCTTTGTAATGGTGAAAATTTCACATCACAGGACAAAAAATATAAAATTCTTAAACTGCAATAGATTAAATAACTATTTCAAAATAATTGATGGTGATTTCCTTTTTTTTTTTTTTTTTAGGATGTTGTGTTTCTGATTTTTTGTACAAACAAATTTCTTTGCTCTTTTTAACCCATTTAAAGTTAACGTCTTATTTAATGTCAGCAGTCGAAGTCTATGAGAAATTAAAAGGACTTTTTATTACGTTTTACATCCAGTAAGCCTTTTGTTTTTATGTAGTTTTTCTTTGAAAACACCAATAAATGAATGACTGTAGCCAAGCAACATATTTTAAGGTTATTGTCTGATAGATGATGAAGCAGAGGTGTGTTTAGGAAAATTCTAATTTTGTATGTATAAGCAAATAAATAAACAACAAATGCACAATATATTTAAGAATAATAAATATGCTATACACTTTATAGATATGAGGAAGTACGGAAGCATCACAGTTATTAATATATGAACATAGTATATATTTCTTAATATACTACATTCAGTCCATGACAAATAATTATTTCTGATTATTTAAAAAAGGGAAATCATTACAAGTTGTGTCCTCCTGATTTATATGTTTAATATAATTCAATACCAATGATTTTCTTTTGGCACCTAAAGATTTTCAGTAACAGCTGCATTATTACTGCTCTTTTTACCTTCCAGACAAAGCTGTCATTCTCTCTGAACATCGTCAGCTTCTTCTGGTCAATTGCTGCAATTTGTATGTGTGCTATGAGTTTTTCTTTTTCCTGGTACCAAGAAAAGGTAAAGGAAAACAGCATTTCTCCTTCATTGAGTAACATCTCTGAAATACAAAACAAATGTGTATTCACTTTCAACTTCAACTGTTTTCATAGATCCATCAAGGAATCAATGGACTGATTTTGACTCTGCTGGTTGTTGAAAACTTGTTTGCCCTATTCTTGATCTACTGGTTGAGTAAAGCTGTGTGCAGAAACCATTTCAACACATTGGTATGCCATTTCTTTAAACACACAGCAACCACAGATACTGTAAGAGAAATAAGATTATTTGTTACTAACAGTTGTAAATCTTTTCTCTGCAGCCCATCATACTGCTGAAACAGGGAGACTGAGTTTAAATGCTTGATGGAGCTCAACAAACCAACAACCAACCAGCTATTTACATGCTTCCTTATTGTATCAAAGGTGCATGATAGCCTATCAATGTCATATACCTTTCTATATACAAAGAATGTGACATTAACTATTCATGTAAATGTGCCACTTCTTGGATACTGATTAACTATTAGTTTTATTTGTATACATCTACCTGTGCATTGCATCGTTTAATCATTTTATGACTGTATAGGCCATCAATCAAAAAGTAGTAGCATGTCAGCAACGTTATCGTGTGCGGCCTGTAGAAGTTTACACACTCCAAAATAACCTTTAATTTCTAAGTCCTGGAGAACGTTATATTATCTTAACTCTGGGACCTTTAGATCATATCTTAAAGCTTGTATATAACTTTTGTGACACATCATTCAAACAGTCAAAGGTAATTAAAGATTGTCATAGGGAAATATTATAATATTATTTTTAATACTGTTTCCCACAGTGAAGTATTTCATTCACTTTACATTGATTACTGAGACCCAACGGTCAGTCAAAGTTCTTATCCTGGTTAAAGCTTAAAGGTGAACTTTTTGCTTTTGTGGCTCACAGGCTTTGAAACAGATGACAGATTTTTTCAAATCAGTCTGAGAGCTGTATAGTCCTAAAACTTAATGTCATTACTTTTTATCATTAATTCTCCATAAGGCATTTTGCTTTGTTATACTTAGCCTACGTGTGGATTTTGTTTCACTGATTGTTACTAACTGTATTGACTGTTTAAGGCAAATAAAGGTTATTATTATTTAGTTTTTTTGTCTACGGGGTCTTCTTGTGGAGCGACAACACATTCCTCTACTATGAACAATGACAGATAACAACCTAAATTAATTAACTGGTTTTAAGCTCAGCAACATATTAGTAAATCTCCATGTATGCATGTAAGTAATATATACACTCTATACATAATGTAATAATACATTTTGTTGTGATATATTTTCAACAGATGTTAAGTTATTTGGAATCAAGTGGAAGAAATATATGAGCATATAACAATATACTTCACTTTTTACATTGTATGTTACCACATACATTGTTGTGACGTAAACCTAAAACTGTTAGGCAATTTTATAAACCCAAACTTGTTCTGTACTTTTTGAGTTGCAACCCCATTGCTCATATTGTTTGTGTGTATCATTGCCTGCATGGCTACAGTAGGCAAATAACTAAAGTAGCTTTTACAAATGTCTCCTAACCCATTTTTTAAATGGTGCATATCATGGAGGGAGTTTTTTTGCAGTTCTTAATGAATACTGAGAGGGACCCCTGCTGGGCAGATGAGGATGTTTTTGGTTTCAGTGACTTGTGAAGCCAAGAGCGACCACATGGAGGAGATAAACACACACCAAATGAAGTCAAGTTAATTCACTTATCAGCGAAGGATGTATTCTAGTAAACACTTTTCATTTGACATTCAAATAACTGTGCTGTTGTTGTACTGTGTTCAAGTTCCCCCAGAACCTGTCGGATTGCAATTTGTTTTTAAATGTTAATACATGAGATCACAGTTTTAATATAAGTTAATTGAATTTGTAATAGTTTTCTTAGAAGTCATCCTCTGTTTAACTTGTCCTGCTTTAAAGTCCTTGCACTGGAGGTCACGCCACAAACGATCAGCACATGATGAAGGAGGGCATTTGAACTCTTCCGCTTCGGGACACTCCCTACAAACATGCACACCAATCAAAATCAAAAGTGAACAATTTCTCTGCAGCAGTCTTCCCCTCTTTTAACCCCTCTGTTGCTCTTTCCTGCCCAGCTGTCACTTTCCACCTTGTTAAACAGCTTAGCAAGCTATGTGACATTTTTATACATTTATTTCTTTTGAACTATTTCTTGCCACAGTTTCGCGGTGGTCGCTGGTGTTGCTTTAGCCGTGGCGGATCACTTTCTCATGCTACCGTGAAGAGCTGCTGCTGCTGCTGCTGCTGCTGTTGACTGCGTCCATCTATGGCGTCCGTGTACAGCGGATCTCATACATTGAGCAAAGATGATGTGAATTACAGAATGCATTTCCGAATGATAAACGAGCAGCAGGTTGAGGATATCACCATCGACTTTTTCTACAGGCCGCACACGATAACGTTGCTGACATGCACGGTGCTCAGTCTGATGTATTTCGCGTTCACAAGGTAAGTCGACCGCAGCTAACGTTAGCTCCGAGGGTTAGCTTGGTTTAGCTAGCGCTCGGCTAACAGTAGCAGTGATGCTGCTGTGACGCTGCCAGGTAACGCAGGGAGGTTAGCTTGCTATTAGCTTCTGTTTAATGGTTTTTGGGTTTTTTTTCTCACTTGGAGAAACTTTAAATCCGCACTGGAGTAACTTTCTGAGTGATGCCTGCTTACGTTTGTCATGAATTGTTAAAATAAGCTAATAAAAACAGGTGTTATATGCCGTTAGTCCAGTGATGAGCACTGCTTCCTGCGTTGACATTAGCTACAACACTGTAACTAGCGAGGCAACGAGTCATAACGTTACCTCATTTTAAGTGATTATCTGCTCTACAAACCAACCATTTACACTATACATCCAACCTAATATAAACCGTAACGCATTTAAAGCTTTAAGATATGTGAGGCACACTCACATCATCACAGTTGTTGAGGGATTGTTGTGTAAAGCAAAGACTACTTATACAATTGTGTGTGTAACATATACTACAGTATTATTGCTGATATTAACTGTTCGTTGGGACATTGTGTGTTTACCCTGCCTGCAGAGATGATGGGAATCCTGACAGTAATCTCTGGGTGGGGCTCATCCTGGTCATCTCCTTCTTCCTTATCATCAGTGTTTTGGCATTTCCTAACGGTGAGCAAGAAAGGACACTAAAGTTATTATTTAGGTTTAGTGGAGTCTGTTTGCAGAGCCCCCATTTAGCCTGAAGGTGTTCACAAACAGACATATGTTAGCACAGTACGTAATAATGACTGCTTCACTTGGCACCCTGAGACAAGAAATAACCTCCGATAAGGACCTCATTAAGAGAGGAATAAATAGGATAGATTGTATAAATAAAGTTTGGTCTTTATTGTTAGTTGGTTCTCACCACAGGGATTTTATCTCCTTCCCAAAGCCATGAATCATATCTACCAGTGGGAATGAGGAAAGAAAGTTGTCCAGAGCAATTCATATTTGTGGCATAATGACAAACGTGTGTCTCCTTGTTGTCAATTATTTCTTTGACGTAGTATATTTATGTCCCTCACTGTAGGTCCGTTCACCAGACCGCATCCAGCGATATGGCGAATAGTTTTTGGTGAGTATTCAGCTTCCAAGGGCGAAAAACTGTTTTTGTTTGGACCTTTTTAGATTTCCCTTCTTAATGTCATCTCTCTGCTGTTAAGGTCTGAGTGTCCTCTACTTCCTGTTCCTGGTTTTCATCATCTTCCTCAACTGGCAGCAGGTGAAGCAGCTAATGTATTGGTTGGACCCGAACCTGCGTTATGCCAAGAGGGAGGCAGACATAATGGTGAGTGACGTGGGTTTACACAGGAAAATAATTCTCTGATTGAGTTGCATGCAACAGTTGTGGTCACTACCAGCGGGTTATCAATCATTGTAATGCTCTCTGCAGGAATATGCTGTGAACTGCCATGTCATCACCTGGGAGAGAATCCTGAGCCATTTTGACATTTTTGCATTCAGCCATTTCTGGGGCTGGGGTATGAAGGCCCTGCTCATCCGAAGCTATGGCCTCTGCTGGACCATCAGTATTACCTGGGAGCTTACTGAGGTAAGGAAGCACACACTAGACAAGGTTATCACACACTTAGCATCCTGTGGCCTGTCACTTTCTCCCTGTCTCTTTCTCTTTATGATGGAAATGTTAAGGACAACTAAGCTAGTGATGTAAGTGGTTTATCCAGTGGAAAATGATGGGGTTTTGGGCTCTTCTCAATCATTTTATGTAACATTTATTAAATATTGTAGTAGGCTGAAAAGTTCACAGTTCTTAAGATATGATGTAGTTTCTCATAGCATCCTAATCTCCTGTTCCCACAGCTATTCTTCATGCATCTGCTGCCTAACTTTGCCGAGTGCTGGTGGGACCAGGTGATTCTGGACATTCTGCTGTGTAATGGAGGAGGCATCTGGCTTGGCATGACTGTCTGCCGCTTTTTGGAGATGAGGACCTACCACTGGGCCAGTATTAAGTATGAACTTGCAGCCTGGGAATGAACTAACACTGCATTAAAAATGTATCCAGTTTTGTGTTGATCTATGTTAAGTCTATGCAATATCCATTTATAAGTTGTGAAAATGGAAGTGGGGTTTAGATTATAAGCCTTGTGCATGCATTTCATGGGAACAACCCTGATTTAGTAACAATACGTCTAATATAGTGGCAGTAAGACCATATGTACCTTTGATTTAAACTGAAGGGCAACATTTAGTCTCAAAGGATATCACTAGCCATATGGTTCTTCATTTTTTCATTTTTGTGCTTGATTATGTAAATTTAAGAAGTTTTCTTTATTGTGATCCCAATATAAGGTAGTTTATTTTATTCTTAAAGTCTATTCCACTCTAGCAAGCCTTTCTAGATACAATATTAAGATGTAAAAAAAAAAAAAAATAGTTTTGAAATATGATCTCACAAGTTCATCAAGGAAGAGTGTGCTTAAATGATTAATGTGATGGCATTACTTTCATCTGGCTTTGTCTACTGCAATAGCACAATACTAATTGTAAATCTATCTGCAAGTCTTTGTAATCCTTCTTCTGTGCTTCTCATACAGGGACATCCACACCACCACAGGGAAGATCAAACGAGCCGTGTTACAGTTTACCCCTGCAAGCTGGACCTATGTACGCTGGCTTGACCCAAAGTCTTCCCTGCAGCGAGTGACGGGTGTCTATATGTTCATGATCATCTGGCAGGTGGGTCAGTGAGAAATCCTCTTTCGCCATCTCATGGTGACTTAAGTGCTGACTTGGGATCATCCCATATGCTCTGCATGCTAAGTCCAGGCTAATCTAATTGCCTCCACCGTTGTTAGAAATCTAAAACCTTGTCTCACATGGATCCATACAATGCATGAGTGTCCTGCTGTGTACATATTAACAGCTAATCCCATAAGAGTGAAAGACAGGCTGGATTACTTTGGACCAATTTATGGTAATGAGAAAACCATGGATGGAGAACTTGAGTAAGCTCTATAGCTCTCCACTGGAGAGTCAACTATAGCTGCCAAAGGTCTAGCCACTGACTGCTATGGCGACGAAGGCTGCTGTTTCTCTCATTTTTGTGTGTTGATGAAACAAAATTGTCCACCCCTCTCTCCCTCCCTCCTTCAGACCCAACTCCCTTGAGGCTTTAAATAGTAATTACCAGTTTTTCAAGAATAAGTTGGGGGACCTGTTCAGCTCTGCTCAGTGTGGTGACAGTTTAGCAGCTCTTCACTGGGTTCAACCACACAGGCCCCAGGCCAAATAACTGAATAACATGGCAGCAGGCCTCCCTCTCATTATCTTCCAGTGCAAATTGGAGGGACTTGGACAGAGTGTACTGCTAGAATTGTTGCCAATTTGTTAATCCAAGTGGGACTTGCATTGTTTGTTAGAGTCCTACCCTGTACCCAAAGTCGTTTTGAGTAAACTACATTTTTGTAGAGCAATTAATAGACTGTACGTGGAGTATAAAAAATTAGACAGGGCGAAAATATCAATCTGTAATCTTACTTAAAGTTAAACTTGTATGGAAGGCAACATACTGCAAATTTCTTTAACATTTGTTGGTTCTGTC